ATTAAAAACCCGAAATTATTCAGGTTGCAGAATGACGTGGGGGATTAGATAGGAGGGTGTGTGTGTGTGTGTGTGTGTGTGTGTGTGTGTGTGTGTGTTTCAGTGTGTCTTCTCTTCCATGTGCCCTGCCTGCCCCAACCAACTGGAGAGAGACGGGCTGTCAGTGTGTTCTCGTCAGTTCCACTCACAGCAGCATTAGAAGGGGTGGGGGTGGAGGTTGGTACTGAGGGTCCCTGTCCTACTCAGGAGCCCAGAACAGGGGGTCCCAGGCCCGTGGGCTCTGTGCTGACCTCGTACCAGGAAGCTAGTACTCGACCCAGCACAGGTGGTGTTGGGGTAGGACTAATACCGGTGTAGGGTGAGGACCCGCAATGTCTGGGCAGCCATCCAGGGGTTCAGGACCAGTGACAGGCCCGGGCAGCATTGATCCGTCCCCCGCCGCCCCCATGAGCAGCTCCTAGGCTGTGCCCAGAGCTGGCCCACCTATTTCAGGCTGCAGGAGGACATGGGATCAGGTGGCAAGTATTGTTTTGTTTCTTTAAATTTCTTCTCCATGTGCCTTTACAACCCTGAAAGGGGAAGAGATGAAACACGGTCCCTCCTGGCCCTCCTTGCCCAGCCTAGCCTTGTGGTGTCCTGGACCGTGTGTGCATGTGTGCATGTCTGATGGTGTCTGTGTCAGTGCGCATGTCTTGGGGGGGGGTGCGTGGGTCTATGGCTGTGGTGTGTCTGTCTGCATTGCATGTCTGTGTCTGTATGGCGGTATGTCTGCCTACGTGTGTGTGATTGGTTGTGTCTCTGTGTGTATGTGTGTGATGACTGTGTATCTGCATGTGTGTGTCTGTATGGCTGTGTGTCTGCCTGCATGTATGTGTGTGTGATTGGTTGTCTCTGTGTTCGTGCGTGTGTGTCTCTGGCTGTGTCTGTGTCTGCATGTGTGTGTCTTGTGTATGACTGTCTCTGTGCCTGAGTATGTGTTTATCTGAGTGTGTCAGTGTCTGTCTCTGTATGACTGTGTGTGAGTGTCTGTGTGTGTGAGTGTGTTTGTGCACACTGGCCAGGGACTGCTGTGGGGACCTGTCTGCGCTCCTTGGGCCCAGGGCCAAGCCCACAGCCCTGTGGCCAGGAGCCTTCGCGGGCCGCCTGCCTTTTAAGGACAGGCTGTCTCCCGGCCTGCATTCTTCCCCCTCCCCCGGGACCCCGCCGGCCAGGAGTGTGCTCTGCCCGGCAGCCGGTTCCCAGGCCAGCAGGGCCGGGCCGGGCCAGGCCGGACGTTCTGGGTGGTGCTCCACCCTGGTTTGTCCCGGGGCTCCGTTCCCAAGAGGTCAGCACCCGCCGACCCGGCAGCCACACACAGACCTGTTCTGACCTGATGCGGGAGCCTGCGGGCCTGGCGCCCTGGGTGCCACCTCCTCCGGGGAGCCCAGCTGGGTGTCTTCCCCTTCCATTTTGGGGATGGGGCCGACCTTCGTACCTAGATGCATAGACCGGGGACTTGAGGACGGGCTCAGCTGCCCTTCTATTCCTTTCTCTTGCATCAGGCTACGTGGGGCTTCGGCGTCTTATTTTCGGAGGCTTCACCGAGCCTGCAAGCTGGCGGTCGGGGTGGGTGGGTGCAGTTCCCCATGCTTTGCAGAAGTCGGGGCCCGAGAAGTCAGGGGCAGGGCAGAGGGTGACTGTGTCTCCACCCGTCCTGTCCTGGTCGGCCGTGCTCAGAGCTGGGCCCCCCACCCCCGTGCTGTTGGCTGAGTAGCCCCTGGCCTGCGCGTGCTCCCCAACTCCCACCCGCACAGCCTCGCTCTGATCGACAGGATCCCCATCTGCTCCCACGACCCGTGTTCTGGCCTTGAGGCCTCCTGTCCCGGGCCCTGGGCCGCCAACCTTCTTGCCTGCATCTCCTCACTGCACTGCCCGGCCTTTCACGGCATCTCCCCCGGCAGAGCTGCCGCAGTGCCCCAGACCTCAACTTCCTGGCCCCGGGAGTGGGTGGAGGGGGGGTGTCTCTGCTGGGAGTCAGCCCCTGAGCCTCCTGCTTTCCGGACTGCTCACACCCCCCCCCCCCTTCGCTTGGGAACCCCCGGGCCATGCCAAATAGGATTTCTCCGTTGTTGCTAGTTTGGTCCTGGGAGGGGGGTGGGGGTTCTCCTGCCCTCTGGAGATAGCGGGGAGTTTATTGCTAAACTGTGTCTCTAACCTTTGGGGAGAAAAGGGACGGCTTTGGCTGGGAGGCAATCAGATAAGGCCGTGGCCCTGGAGCCGTGGACAGTGGCCCACAATGTCCCATTGTTTCTACCCAGTGGCCCACACAATGGCCTGCTGTTGGGCTCTGCTCTGGCCCTGCCCTGCGCTGCCCAACATTCTTCCCCGGTTGGAGTTGGAGGTTTCCCTGACCGCCCCCCCCCCCCAAGAACCGACCCCCCCTCACCCAAAACACCTGGCCTTGCCCCAGTGTGACTTCTGGGGAAGCGGGGGCGCTGTCCGTCCGGAGAGACGGGGCATTCATGCGGCCTTTGAAAGCCAAGGAAGGATGTGGGGGGGATGGAGACGTGCAGGAGGGTGGTGTGACTCAGGCAGGCCACCCCCCCAGGCCTGGGACTCCCTGGAGGCTGGCTACTGCAGGGTGAGGTGGGGAAGGGCGTGTGGAGGAGGTATTCCTAGGGCCACCAGGACTTGGGTGGCAACGGGAGGGGTGGGGTAGAGGGTCCTCGGGACCCCCAGCCTCAGCCACCACTGCGGTGGACCCGGTTAGAGAGTCTTGACTCTGAGTCCCCTCCATACCGGGCAGAGGAGTCTGGGCCTCGGGGTGGGTGGTGGTGCTGCCGGGCCCCCCTCCATCTGTTCCCTTTTCCTCCGGAACAGCCGTGGCCAGGCCTGAGGGTCCGGGTGGGCGCTCCCCTCCTCCAGCACCCTCACCTGCGGCACTGGGCTCTGGGGTGCTCTGGCCTGGGCCAAGCCCCAGCACAGGCTGATGGACATGGCGGGGGCACATGCCAGGTGACCTGCCATCAGGGTCCTGAGGGCTGCATGGAGGAAGGCCCCCAGGCTGGGAGGCTACTGGGGGCAGGGAGGGCGGGAGGGTATTGATGGGAAACTAAGAGTGCCTCCTGCTGAGACCCCCCCCCTTCCTCCTGGCAGACAGGCACTCCATGGGGTGCGGTGGGGGTGCAGTGAGTGACCTGGGGCTGCGGGTACCCCAGGCGGGGATAAGGCAGAGGCCAGCAGCGCCCCCACCCCCTCAGTGGAGCAGATGCCCTGAGATGGGGGCTGTCCACCCACCCACCCACCCGCAAGAGCCCCTGGTCTCCCCATTCCTGCTGCTGTTGTGTGTGTGTGTGTGTGTGTGTGTGTGTGTGTGTGTGTGTGTGTGTGCGCGCATGCGCGGTGTGGGGGAGGTGGGGGGCTGCTGTCCTGACTGTTGCTCCACTGTGTCCAGGGAGTGACCAAGCCACTGCTTCCCTTTCCAGAGCTCCCGTCATCTCATACCCCAGGGGCACACCGACACCCCCCCTATCGGCCAGTCACGGGGGCCCTGGCCCCTCGGAGCCCAGGGAGCATGAGGACTGTGGGGTCTCACTGGCCTGGTCACGGGACGCCCCGCTCTGTCCACTGAACCCCAGGTGGACAGACAGAAAACACTTCCTGCTGACACACAGACACGCGTGCCTGCACACACAGATGCGTATGAACACGTGTGCGCACACATGTGCCCATGCTGGCACACACTCTAGTGCGCAGGGCCCCCCACCTGGCTGCGGTGCCTCCCTGTAGGGCCAGGCTGAGGTGCCGGAGGCTTGCTGGCCTCCCTGCCGCGCGCCCCACGGTGGCCAGGCCCCGGGCGAGGGGTCTCCCCGAGCAGGTCCCATGCTGAGCCCCTCCCTTCCCTCTCCCCACGTGGTGAGCTCCAGGCAGGAGGAGGCCCCAGACACGGCCCCGCCCTGCGCACTTCCTGGGTTCCAAGTGCGCCCGCCTGCCCGGGCAGGATTTCCCGGCCGGGCCAGGAGCTGCGTGTCAGCCCCGGCGGCCACTGGGCCGAGGGGCTGTCGGGGCTCAGCCTTTCCCAACAGGAAGGTAGGAGACCCCAACCGGGGGCTGGTTGGGGCAGGTGTGGGAGTCTGTCCCCGGCAGGGTGTGGGGGGGGGGGCACAGGCCTGTCCAAGCAGGAGGAGCCAGGCCTCATGGGGAGAAAGCCTGTGCGAGCACGCGCACACGCGTGCGTGTGTGTGTGTGTGTGTGTACACGTGTGTGTACGTGCGTGGGTGTGTGTGTGCGTATGTGCCACCCTGCCCTCCCCCCAGCCCACCTGACCTGTGCCCTTCTTCCCTCTGCCCGTCACAGTGTCAGTATCAGGGCTGTCTGGGGTGGCTCTCGGGGTCCCCAAGGGGGCGAGGCCACTCCCGGGGCGGCCCAGGACTGCATGTCAGGAGACTCAGGGATGCCGCAGCCCCTGTCCGGGTTCTGAGCCCACACGGCACCAGCTCTGCGCAGGGGGTGGGGTGCTGGCCCTCAGGTCCCGGCCTGTCCGGCCTGAAGTCACGGGGAGAAGGGCGGAGGCTTGGGCAGACAGTCTGGGGGGCCGGGGAGGGCTCCGTCCGCACATGAGGACCCGCGGACAGACAGGCTCAGAGAGGAGAAGGGGCTATCCCAGGCCCTTGGGGCTCTGGGGCCACAGGAAGTGTCTGCGCCCTCGCGGCCAAGCCCACCCGCACCCTCATCTCAGAGCGTTGCAACTGGGTGGTCTCAGACGTGGCCCACCTCTGCCTGTCTCCCACCTGCCTCTGGGGGGCCCCTGGACAAGCCACTGGACTCTGGAGTGGGGGCAGGGGACAGCCCCTGTCCGGGTGGGAACTGGGAGAGGGGTCGGAGGGCAGCTCGGGCCACAGAGAGATCCCCCGTCCACCCGACTTCCAGGCGGGGTCCCATTGTGGGGGTGCAGCAGCATGGAGGGGTGGAGATCCGCCCCGGCCGAGGGGGGTCCCCGCCTGACGCCCGGCCCCTCGCAGGTCCCATCTGATGCCCAGGCTGAAGGAGTCTCGCTCACACGAGTCCCTGCTGAGCCCCAGCAGCGCGGTGGAGGCGCTGGACCTCAGCATGGAGGAGGAGGTGCTCATCAAGCCCGTGCACAGCAGCATCCTGGGTCAGGACTACTGCTTCGAGGTGAGGCCCTGTGTGGACGCCGTCCTGCCGGCCCCGTGGCCACTGCCGGGGTGCCGTGGTGCCGGGGAGAGCTTGTTGGTTCTCCCCCCACATACCCTTTGCCGATGCCAGGGAGGCAGGAGCAGTCGGGGTTGGGGGACTCTGGGGGCAGCATAGGGGACAAGCGCCCCGGGGCCCAGCACCCCCCACCTGTCTGCAGTGAGACCCCCAGAGTGCCGTGCTGCCCGGCTGGCATCACTGCTGTCCCCTCCGCAGATGTCGCTGGGGGCCGAGGGGGCCTCAGGCCTGCTCTCTCTCTCTCTGGGGTTTGGGGCTGAGCATCGCCCTCTGACCTGGACAGGGCCCCTAGGCTGTCCGCCACCTTTGTGACCGTGCCCTGCCACCCCCACAGGTGACCACATCATCCGGGAGCAAGTGCTTCTCCTGCCGGTCAGCCGCTGAGCGGGACAAGTGGATGGAGAACTTGCGACGAGCAGTGCACCCCAACAAAGTAGGCCTGCACCCCCTCCCCCTGCCCAGGGCTGACCCAACTCATATGGTAGATCAGGCTCTGGTATGAAGGTGTCAGGTGGGGGTGACAGAATGCAGGGCCAGGTGCCCCCAGGAGGGGTCTGGGTTCTGAAGGGGCATTCTGGGCGGGCCCAGAGGCTGACTGTTGGGCTGCTGGACACTGGACTCGGGGGTCCTTGCCTCTGCGACTCTTGCTTCCGCCCACCCTCTCCTTGACACTGTCCCCTCACCCCCAGCCCATTTTTGCTCTCCGACCCAGCTCCAGATTTCATGCCTGTCTCCTCTTGGGGTCCCCGGGGTCTCGCGTGTCTCACCTTGCATCTGTATCTGCCCCTGCTCCCCTGGGCTGTGTCCTGGTCCCCCGATAACCCGCGGAAGGCACCACCGCTGGGTGACTTCAGCCCGGCGGCTCAGCTGCCCTCTCCTCTCCGAGCACCTGTGGCCTCCTGCTTCACTGTGTTCTCAGCCCCCTGTTCTGGAGAAGGGGGAGGAGCATCTCATCCTCTGTTCTAAAGAAGGAACAGGGCATCTCGCTGTTCTAGAGGGGGTGGGGCCTCTCCTTGTTCTAAATGGACTGGGATATCTCCCTGTTCTGGAGGGGCCCAGGGGATCTCCCTGTTCTAGAGGGGCTGGGACCTCTCCCTGTTCTAGATAGGATGGAGCCTCTCTGTTCTGGAGGGGCATGGGGTATCTCCCTGTTTTAGAGGGACTGGGGCATCTCCCTGTTCTAGAGGGGGTGAGGCCTCTCCCTGTTCTAGATAGACTGGAATATCTCCCTGTTCTGGAGGGACCTAGGGGATCTCCCTGTTCTAGACGGGCACGGGGCATCTCCCTGTTCTTAGGGGCTGGGGCCTCTTCCTGTTCTAGAGGGGCCGGGGCATCTCCCTGGAGGGCTCTGGGGCCCCTCCCTGCTCTGGAGGGGCTGGGGCATCTCCGTTCCGCAGAGGGGGCGGGGTGGTCAGGGGGCTGGCGCGCGCCTCACCAGGGGCCCCCTGCGCATGCAGGACAACAGCCGGCGCGTGGAGCACGTCCTGAAGCTGTGGGTCATCGAGGCCAAGGACCTGCCGGCCAAGAAGAAGTACCTGTGCGAGCTGTGCCTGGACGATGTGCTGTACGCCCGCACCACGGGCAAGCTCAAGACCGACAACGTCTTCTGGGGCGAGCACTTCGAGTTCCACAACCTGCCGCCCCTGCGCACGGTCACGGTGCACCTGTACCGCGAGACCGACAAGAAGAAGAAGAAGGAGCGGAGCAGCTACCTGGGGCTGGTCAGCCTGCCCGCCGCCTCGGTGGCCGGGCGGCAGTTCGTGGAGAAGTGGTACCCGGTGGTGACGCCCAACCCCAAGGGCGGCAAGGGCCCCGGACCCATGATCCGCATCAAGGCGCGCTACCAGACCATCACCATCCTGCCCATGGAGATGTACAAGGAGTTCGCCGAGCACATCACCAACCACTACCTGGGGCTCTGCGCCGCCCTCGAGCCCATCCTCAGCGCCAAGACCAAGGAGGAGATGGCGTCGGCGCTGGTGCACATCCTGCAGAGCACTGGCAAGGTCAAGGTGAGTCTGTGCGCCTGCTCCTGTGGCCGGGAGCCTGGGGGGGGGGTTGGGGGCCGAGGTTTGGGGGGTCTCCCCCCTCCCCCGCCCCCTGTAGCCCCAGTGCAGCCCCTCTCTGCACGCCTGCCCATAGGTGTGTGTTTGGGATCTCCAGCAGGTGACCATCCGCACCTGACAGTGACCCCCGCACTGGGGGACCCCACCCCTCATCCCCCCCGAGCAGTGCTGTTGGAGCAGACTGCACCCGGGCCCGGGCAGGGGACCCCTGTCACGGCTGGTGACATGAGACCCCCCCCCCGGCCGGTGGGTGTGTTGGGGGGTTTGGTTTATGCCCAGAGTCCTCAGCCCGAGTGCAGGGTGACCCTTGGGTACAGAACTGTGAAGAGTCCAGGGCCAAGCCTGGGCTGTCTGGCCCCCTCTCAGGACCCTTAGAGAGGCCCTCCTACACACCCCAGGGTGCCCCCCCCACCCCACACAGTCCCCAGGTGCTCTGAGCCCTTCGTGCTGGCCCAGCAGATCTGGCCAGACCTGTGCATGTGACAGGTGGGGGAGAGGCGTGACGGCCTTAGCCCCCAGGTCCCCCTGTGCCCATGAGGGTCTCAGCCCCCCCCCCCAGGGTGGTCCCTCTGCCCCAGGGGTCCTTTGGACCTCACGGGGGTCTGAGGTGTCTTTGCCTTTGGCTGCCCTCGGTGTGGGTGTGAACGGAGGCAGGACTGGGCCCTCTGAGGGGCAGGTGGGAGAGCAGAGGGTGAAGGAAGCCAGACCCCGGCGTCCCCGAAGATCCTGCTGTGCCTTGCACCTGCCTGTGCCCTGCCTGCCCTTCAGGGACCACCCCCCCCCCCCAGGCTCTGCATAGACACTTGGTTCCGGGGGGGGGGGCGGGGTGGACGTCCTAACTCAGAGCTCTGCTTCCCGCCTGGATCTCTGCACCCCTATGGACTCCCCCGTCTCTGCGCTAGGGGAGGACCCAGGCCAGTGCCCTCCCTGCCCTGCCAGCATTCCCGGCCTCTGCTTTCGGGGGCTTCGAGATTGTCCCGTCGTTACTGTTCTGTCCTTACTGTTCCATTGCTCCTCTAGTAAGAACTGCGGCGGGGAGGAAGGGGGGGGGCGGACGAAGGTGGAGGGTGCCACCTGGGCTCCTGCTCTCGCCCCCCCGTGCCAGGCATGTTGCAGGTGCTGCTTTGTTTTTGTTTATTTTAATTATTGGTATTTTTTTTTTTGTTACAAGTCGTTCACGATTGGATTTCAGTCATACAGTGTTCCAACACCCATCCCTCCATCAGGGTACATTTCCCAGCACTAGTGTCCCGGGGTCCTTCTCACCACCCCCCACTCCCTGCCTCTATGGCAGACGCTTGTCTTCTCTCTCTCTCTCTCTCTCTCTCTCTCTCTCTCTCTCTCTCTCTCTCTTTCTCTCCTTTTGGGCACTGTGGTTTGCAATATTGATGCTGAAAGGTTATCCAGCATATCCCTTACCTACTTAAATCTCTCGCCTCTTGACCGGCGTGATCATTCCCTTTTATTACTGTCCTAGCGGTCCCTTCTCTATCTTACCTACCCTCAGCCCCCCCACACACACTTGTGGTTAGTTCCAACCGCTGACCAGTCCTCCTAACCCTCCTAACCCCTGTTTTCCCTGGCTATTATGGATATTATCCTTCTCCTTAGATGTGTATTTTTGTTGTTGTTGTTGGTTTGTTTTTTGCTTTTGGGGTCATACCCGGCGATGCACAAGGTTTTCCTCCTGGCTCATGCACTCAGGAATCCCTCCTGGCGGTGCTCGGGGGACCCTATGGGATGCTGGGAGTCGCACCCAGGTTGGCCACGTGCAGGGCAAACGCCCCGCCCGCTGTGCTATGGCTCCAGCCCGATATATGTATTTCTATGTACCAAGAATGAATGCAGTCCCTCATTCATTGATCTGTCCCTCTCCTTCTGACTCATTTCTCTCGGCGCGGGACTTTCCATGTCCACCCATTTTTAGGCAGATTTCATGACTTCATGTTTCCTGACAGCTGCCTAGTATTCCATGGTGTAGATGTGCCGTGGTTTCTTTATCCATCTGCCTGTTCTGGGGCACTCGGGTTGTTTCCAGATTTCTGGCTGTGGTTGAATAGTGCCGCCCTGAACACAGGGCGGTTGCAGGTGCTTCTGAGGCGTCCGAGCCCCTGGAACTGCGCCCCCTACCTCCGAGCTGACAGCCCTGCCCTGAAGTCCTTCCCCCAGTCTCCCAAATCCCCCCCGTCCCATCTGTACTGTGGGGGCTGCGGCACCCACAGAGGGTTGGATGGGGGTCAGGGAAGCCCAGCTTCCTGTTTTGAGAGCGCCACGTGTGCGAGGAGCCACATCCTACTCTGGGCACGCTAGGCCTGCCCAGGCATCCGGCAGGGGCGCCATGGCCGTGGGGGGCCCTACCTGGGACCCTGGCTTTGGCGCCCCCATCCTCCTCCCCCAGGCTTCCAGGCTCCCTGCCCCGGGCTGCATACAGCAGCCGACGAGGAGGGGACCCCAGAAGCGGGGTCCGCTCCTGGCCAGGGAGCGGGTCTGGAATGTAGGGAGGTTCCGCCCGCCCACAGTCGGGGGCCTGCCGTCCTCACCTCCTCCGATCCCGGCAGGACTTCCTCACGGACCTGATGATGTCCGAGGTGGACCGCTGCGGGGACAATGAGCACCTCATCTTCCGGGAGAACACGCTGGCCACCAAGGCCATCGAGGAGTACCTCAAGCTGGTGGGCCAGAAGTACCTGCAGGATGCGCTCGGTAGGGCCAGGCGCAGGGCGGGGGTGAGAGGGTGGGGTGGGGAAGCCGTCCCTCGGGCACTCACGCCCATTCCCTGTTCCCCCCCGCCCCCCTACCAGGAGAGTTTATCAAGGCGCTGTACGAGTCAGATGAGAACTGCGAGGTGGACCCCAGCAAGTGCTCGGCCGCTGACCTGCCCGAGCACCAGGGCAACCTCAAGATGTGCTGTGAGCTGGCCTTCTGCAAGATCATCAACTCCTACTGGTCAGTGCCGCCCGCCAGGCCCCCTGCGCTCATGGCTGGGGTGGGGGTGGGGGTTGCGCCTGGCTCCTGACAGAGTTGGGGTGGGGGGTGGGGGGCAGCCTCTTGCCCACTGCTCACTGGCCGCTAGACCGGCTGAGCCTGTGCTGGTTGCTTTGGCTTCTGGCCTGCGAGGGAGCGTCCCAGAGCTCAGGGATGGTGCTGAGAACTGCTCATGCCACTATCAGCATGCGCCCACGTGCCAGGGAAATGGGGGACCCCAGCCTGTCCGCAGGGGTCTGCGGCTCCCGGCAGAGGGTTGTTGCGGGGCTGTGTGGGTGTCTGGGCAGAGCCTCGCATGCACAGAGAGTGGCTGCCCCGAGGGGGCCGTCCCCCTGCCCTGGCTCTCTGTGCAGGAGTGGGGGTCCTTGCTCAGTCCCAAGTAGTAGGGGGACTGTGGGGCGCCCCCAGAACCCATGAAGGGGTCCCCCTGCACAAGGCGCTCCCTCCCCAGGCCAGTCAGCAAACCTGGGACTCCCCAGGAATATGCTTCCCCTGCCCCGGGCTGGGCTGCAGGCACAGGCCGGGGGTGGGCCTGTGGACGGCGTCTTTCTGTTGCCTGCTGACTCTGGTCTCCCGTGGTCCAGCCGATGCTCCAGGAGAGCCTGCGGGGCCTAGAGCTCTCGGGTGCATCCAGGCCCGGGAGCTCCCACGGTGCCCTGGTGCTCGGAATGGTGTGTCGGAGCGGCCTGAGCTGGTGACTACCAGGGCAAGGCTGGTCCTGGGCACCCAGGCCAAGAGCACGGCCCTCAGGGTGGAAAGCATCACGGGCCTGGCAGGCATCACCCGCAGACATGGCACCCACACCTGGGAGGCCACCGTCTCCTCCCAGGAATGAAATTCACCTCTCTTTCCTTTCTTTTTTCTTTTTTTCCTTTTGGTCTTTGGGGGTCCGCCCCCCCCCCCCCCCGCAGTGGTGCTCAGGGGCTGTCCTGGCTCTGTCCAGGAGCCTGTGGCATGGGGGTTGGCCACAGGTGCAAGGCGAGCGCCTTACCCGATGGGTCAGTCTCCCTGGGCCCCTGCTCCCCGCTTCTTGAGGGGTTCTAGGCCCTGAAGTCCGGGGCTCTCGCGCTAAGCGGGCAGAGGGAGTGAACGTGGCGGCCTGACCGCTCCTCACTGGCCGCGGTCTGTTCGGGAGGTGGGACCCCCACTGCCCGCCGGTGCTCGAGGGCTCGGGCCAGCAGCTAGAGGCAGAGGCCTATTCCGCATGGGAGGCCCCGGCCTTGTTTCCCAGCACTGGACCCTCCCTCCCCGCCCCTCCCCACCCCCCGACAGCTAGCCCCCGTCCTGCGCCTGGCTGACCCCCACGTGTCCCCCCGCCCCCAGCGTGTTCCCCCGGGAGCTGAAGGAGGTGTTCGCCTCGTGGCGGCAGGAGTGCAGCAGCCGCGGGCGCCCCGACATCAGCGAGCGGCTCATCAGCGCCTCCCTGTTCCTGCGCTTCCTGTGCCCGGCCATCATGTCGCCCTCCCTCTTCCACCTGCTGCAGGAGTACCCCGACGACCGCACCGCCCGCACCCTCACGCTCATTGCCAAGGTCACCCAAAACCTGGCCAACTTTGCCAAGTGAGTGGCGGCCCCCGCCCGGCCACGTGGGGCCCAGGGTCACCGGTCGCCCCCTCCTCCTCCCCTCCTCCTCTTTCTCCTCCTCCCTCCTCCTCCTCCTCCTCTTCCTCCTCCTCCTCCTCCTCCTCCCCTCCTCCTCTTTCTCCTCCTCCTTCTCCTCCTCCTCCTCCTCTTCCTCCTCCTCCTCCTCCTCCTCCTCCTCCTCCTCCTCCCCTCCTCCTCTTTCTCCTCCTCCCTCCTCCTCCTCCTCCTCCTCTTCCTTCTCCTCCTCCTCCTCCTCCTCCTCCCCTCCTCCTCTTTCTCCTCCTCCTTCTCCTCCTCCTCCTCCTCTTCCTCCTCCTCCTCCTCCTCCTCCTCCTCCCCTCCTCCTCTTTCTCCTTCTCCCTCCTCCTCCTCCTCGTCCTCCCCTGCTCCTCTTTCTCCTCCTCCTCCTCCCTCCTCCTCCTCCTCCTCCCTCCTCCTCCTCCTCCTCCTCCCCTCCTCCTCCTCCTCCTCCTCTTTCTCCCTCCTCCTCCTCTTTCTCCCTCCTCCTCCTCCTCCTCCCCTCCTCCTCCTCCTCCTCCCCTCCTCCTCCTCCCCCTCCCCTCCTTTTCCCTCCTCCTCCTCCTCCTTCTCCTCTTTCTCCTCCTCTTCCTCCTCCTCCTCCTCCTCCTCTCCTCCTCCTCCTCTTCCTCATTCTCCTCATCCTCCCGCTCCCTCTCTCTGAGGGCAGCCCCCTGCTCGCCAACGGAGAGGGCGGGGTGGTGCTTCCTTCTGTGTCCTTGGCGGGCGAGCAGTCCATCCACCCCGAGGCTTCTCTCCTTAGCTTCTGCTGGCCCGGCTGGATCGGGTGGCCCAGGTGCCTGCAGGCAGAGGGCTTCCAAGGGTCCTGAGCCCCAGGCTGGGCACATCTCCTCTCCTGGTGCTCGAGGCTGCTTCTTAGGGGTCCCCGCCCTCCCCTAGCGGAGCGCAGACCCCGGGTGCCAGAGACAGGGGAGGCGAGAGGGAATGATGGCGGGCAGCAGAGCGGCGAGGGGGACGGAGCCGTCTCCCAGCAGAGCGGCCCAGGTGCAGAGATGGGCTTCCTGGAAGATGGGATAAAGGGGAGCGGGGTTTGGCTGGGCAGGCCTGAGGGCTGTGTGCTGGCAGGGAGGGGCCACCGCCACATTCCCCCGGAGATGGACAGATGGACAGAGAGCAGAGCCAGAGTACGGCTCCAGACCAAACAGCCGTGGTCGAGGGGTCAGCCTCTAGCTGAAGGACAGGAGCACTTGGATTGCGTGTGGGGCTCCGGATTTGGTTCCCCAACACCCCGGCACCTTAAGCGGTGGAGCTTGGAGGGAACCTAGAGGCGTTGGCGGGAGGCGGTGCCAGGGTTCCTAGCGATTTGAAGTCAAGGTGGGGTGGGGAGGGCTTCTTGTCCTTTGTGGGAGGGGCGACCCTCAGTGGGGCTCAGGCTGTGCGCGGCGGCGGAGGCGGGGCTGACCCCGGGCGCCCGCCCCCACCCACAGGTTCGGCAGCAAGGAGGAGTACATGTCATTCATGAACCAGTTCCTGGAGCACGAGTGGACCAACATGCAGCGCTTCCTGCTGGAGATCTCCAACCCCGAGACCATCTCCAACACGGCCGGCTTCGAGGGCTACATCGACCTGGGCCGCGAGCTCTCCAGCCTGCACTCGCTGCTCTGGGAGGCCGTCAGCCAGCTGGAGCAGGTGCCTGTCCCCCGCCAGAAGCTGCCCAGCTCCCCACACTTGCCCTGCCCCGGACTCCCGGCATTGCCAGCCTCACCCTGAGGTGCCCCCTCTGTGGCCTAGGGCTTCCCTACCCCGCCCCCACACCCCGCCAACCCCCACCCCCCACAGTGAGCAGGTGGTTGGAGACGAGCCCTGCCAGGATCTGTCTCCAGGATTGCGGGCCTTTCTCGGGCACCAGGGTGACCTTCTCACGGTAGTGGCTGCTGACCCCGGGGTTGGCGGGGTCAGGTGCCCTAGAGGCGACTGCCCATAGTGCTGAGTCTTGGGCTGGGACCAGCCCCTTTCCCCGGGGAGCCCCCAGCTGAGTGTGTGAGAGGCAGGGCTGGGCCTCTGGGGAGTGAGAAGCCCAGGCCAGGAGACTGACCGTGCCCCCCTGCCGGACACGCGTCCCCCTGCCTGTAGCAACAGGAGAGGCGGTCAGAAAGATGGAGCCGGGGCCCAGGTCTTCTTCCCTGCTGTATGGGCCAGCCACTGGCCGCCTCGCCCTGTGCTGGGCTTGGCCTGTTTCTGCATCGCCCCCCCTGCCTGCCCACTTAATGGGTGACAGGTGCCCACTTGTCTCGGGAGGGAAGCATCGGCCGGACTGTGCTAGGGCTTTTCCTCGGGGCGTGATTGTGGGTGGGAGGTGTGGGCTGGGCCTCCCTGGCACCTGGCTGGGCTCGGGGGCTCTGAGCTGCTGCAGGCAGGGCTGTGGATGTGGCCTCCTGGCCGGGGCCTCTCTGCTCACCCTGGGGTGGTCTCTTGTGGTGTCTCTACAGAGCATCATTGCCAAACTGGGGCCCCTGCCACGAATCCTGAGGGATGTCCACACGGCGTTGAGTGCCCCCGGCAACGGGCAGCTGGCAGGGACCAATGACCTGGCCTCCACACCCGGCTCTGGCAGCAGCAGCATCTCCGCTGGGCTCCAGAAGATGGTGATTGAGAATGACCTCTCTGGGTAGGAGCTGCTGGGAAATGGGAAAGGGCTGGGTGTGTGTGTGTGTGTGTGTAGGAGGGGCTGGGGGGGCACGTGTGAACAAGAACCCACCCGGCGGGTCCGAGGTCTCGGCCAGCGAAGGGGTCGCAAGCCCGTGTTTACAAAAGCAGGCTGGGAAAGTGGGTGGGAAAGGGGAAGGCGCCACCGGGAAGACTTCCCGGGGGAGGGTGCGCTGGAGCCCCGAGTGAGCCCATGAGGGGAAGTGGCGTTTCCATTGGTGGGAGCGAAGCTCTGCCACAGAGCAGCCACGCTGGTCCTCTGCGCCTCCACTTCCCGGTTCCTGGGTGCGTGAGATGCTCGTCCTGGCCCGGGTCGCCGACGCTGGCTTTCAGGGCTGTATTTTCGGAGGGAATGCGGCAGAGAGCCAGGCCGGGCGGCTGGAAGCCCCAGGGGAGGCAGGGAGAAGTTTGGGGGGGGCGGCACACATGAGGGTGCGGCCCCGGAAGGTTCATGGTGGGGGGAGGCAGGTGCTCTGGAGCCCAGCTCTCTGCGAGGCTGCCCGCGCAGCTCGGTCTGGGTGCTGAAGTGCTGGTCACTGCTCGGTGTGGCCTCCTTGGGGGCTGGAGTCCAGCAGTCGGATGACCTCTGATGCCGTGGCCCCCACAGGCCATCCGAGGTTGGGGGAAAGGGAGAAGGAAGAACCCACGGGCCCCCGGGTCTGAGGCTGTCTGTCCCCGTCACTGCCCACTAGAAGGGGTTGCGCTGAGCCCAGGGACGGCCGGCCAGAGGGTCCTGAGGGCAGCTGATCTGGGTGCTAGTGGGTGGGCACAGGGATGGCCACCACTGTGCTGGCTCCCCGCCCCCCCCCCCCAAGTTCTGCCTGCTGCCCAGGCCCACACCTGCCAGCCTAGGCCCCAGCCTGCAGGGTCAGGGATAACGTCAGCCCAGGCTCAGCCAGGCCAGGGAGGCTTCAACCCAGCCAGAGCCCTTTTACCCTTCTGATGCCCAGCTGGCCCTTCCCCGGACCCCTGCCTTGCCCTGTTACTTGAGCCTTCTTTGGAAGGCTCCTAGGGGGCAGGGCTAGGAGGTGCTTGGAACAGGGGGCAGGGGGCAGGGGGGAGGGGGGGCCGGGAGGTACCAGGAAAGAGGGTGCAGGGGGGAGGTGGGAGGGACCAGGAGGTGCCAGGAAAAAAGAGGGTGCAGGGGGGAGGTGGGCGGGGCGACCTGCCCCTGAGTCACGCAGGGAAGATCCTCCTCGGAGCTGTTTTTTGCAGGGAACTCCAGCCCCCGCCTGCCAGTCAGACCAGGGGGCGGCCGCGGGAGGCGGGGCCCCACCTGGGGGGTTCGGCGGACTGGGAACCCGCAGCAGAGGCAGCGGGAGCCTGTTTGTGCCGGGCCGCTCAGAGCCGCGGCCCAGGACCGCGCAGGGTTGCGGGGCTGAGGGTGTGGGCGAGGGCTCGGCGGATGGGGCGTCTTACGGAGCAGCCCCGGCCCCGGCACTGCCTGGCGCAGGGTACAAGGGAACGAGGGTAGAGGCGCCAGGCCGCCCGGCCCGGGTCTCTGGCGCTGTCCTCCTGTGGCAGACAGCGGCCTGGGCAGGGCTATCTCGGCCTGGCGGCGCCGGGCGTCGTGGCTCCGGTGGAGGTTGGGCGTTTTTGTCGCTGTTCGCCGGGGCCTCCAGCTCAGGCTGCTCCTGCCCCAGATCCAGGGCCCGGGTGGTCGGTGGGTGCCGCGGGCTGGACCCGGCGGCCACACTCACCGCCCTTCTCTCCCTGTGTGTGCTTGTCTCCTTGCAGTCTCGTAGATTTCACCCGGTTACCGTCTCCAACCCCCGAAAACAAGGACTTGTTTTTTGTCACAAGGTCCTCCGGGGTCCAGCCCTCGCCCGCCCGCAGCTCCAGTTACTCAGAAGCCAACGAGCCGGACCTCCAGATGGCCAACGGCGGCAAGAGCCTGTCCATGGTGGACCTGCAGGAGGCCCGCGCGCTGGACGGGGAGGCCAGCTCCCCCGCGGGCGCCGACGCCCTCGCCGTGGACGGGCCGGTGGCCGCGGCTCAGCTGGTGGCCGGGTGGCCGGCCCGGGCGGCCCCCGCGAGCCTGGCAGGGCTGGCCACAGTGCGGCGGGCGGGCCAGACGCCCACCACGCCCGGCGCCTCCGAAGGCGCGCCGGGCCGGCCCCAGCTGCTGGCGCCGCTGTCCTTCCAGAACCCCGTGTACCAGATGGCGGCCGGCCTGCCGCTGTCCCCCCGCGGCCTGGGCGACTCGGGCTCCGAGGGCCACAGCTCCCTGAGCTCGCACAGCAACAGCGAGGACCTGGCCGCCGCGGCCAAGCTGGGCGGCTTCGGCGGTGCCGAGGAGCTGGCGCGGAGGCCCAGCGAGCTGGCGCGGCGGCAGATGTCACTGACTGAGAAGGGCGGGCCGCCCGCCGTGCCCCGGCAGAACAGCGCCGGCCCCCAGCGCCGGATCGACCAGCCGCCGCCGCCCCCGCCGCCGCCCCCACCCGCGCCCCGTGGCCGCACGCCGCCAGTGCTGCTCAGCACCCTGCAGTACCCGCGGCCGGCCAGCGGCACCCTGGCCTCCGCCTCGCCGGACTGGGCGGGCCCCGGGGCCCGGCTGCGCCAACAGTCCTCGTCCTCCAAGGGGGACAGCCCCGAGCTGAAGCCGCGGGCCGCGCACAAGCAGGTGAGTGGCGGGCGGGGGGCCACGGGGGGCTCGTCCACCTCATGCCGCTTCCCTCCCGGTCATGAACACCCGCGCCTGTACCCTCCTGCCATTCCATGCCGCCAGCCCCCTCCGCCTTCTTCACCCTGCACGAAGCAGGCAGGGATGCTGCCGCCCCAGGCCCTGTCCCCTGCAAGGACCCGCGTGCCGGTGGGGGGGGTTGGTCGCTGCCCGTCCCCAGCCTCAGGCCTGTGAAGGCCCTGCCCAGCGTAGGGTCAGCCTGTCCTCACGCGGAGCCCCGCTCCCAGTACACAGTCCGCCCCCCCCTCACTGGCTGTCACCAGGGCGGCCCGGGGCAGAGTCGCTCCCCCACCCCACCCCACCCCACCCCACCCCGGGCCACCTGCCCGCCTGCCCTCCCGCCCTCCCGCTCCCCACTCTGCCCCTCACAGCTGTGTTTCGTTGTAGGGTCCTTCGCCCGTGAGTCCCAATGCCCTGGACCGCACGGCCGCGTGGCTCTTGACCATGAACGCACAGTTGTTAGAAGACGAGGTTCTGGGCCCAGACCCCCCGCACAGGGATAGGCTAAGGAGTAAGGAGGAGCTCAGCCAAGCAGAAAAGGTAATGTGGAGGGGCCGGAGTGATAGCACAGCGGGTTAGGGCATTTTGCCTCGCACGCGGCCGGCCCGGGTTCGATTCCCAGCATCATCTCATGGGGTCCCTCGAGCACCGCCCGGAGTAATTCCTGGTGCACGAGCCAGGAGTAACCCCTGAGCATTGCCGGGTGTGACCCCCTCACCCCCCCAAAAAAAAAAATAACGGTGACGTGGAGCCTGCTGCAGGCAGCCCCGAGTCTGGGAGAGGAGAGCGGCAGATGAGCTAGCTATAGGCCCAGGGCCCCTGCCCGCCGGACAGCTGGGCTGCTGAGACTCTGGGGGTGCTAAGGAGGTTCGGGGAGAGTGTGAGAAGGCCCCCGAATTGGCCGGCCCAGTCCTTCCTGGAGGACAGAGGAGGATTTCCCCCGGGCAGGGTCCTGGTCAGAGCACGCCCCAGAGGTCTTTCTCCGCCAGGGCGAATCGGGGGGGCTCTTCAGTGGGTGCTTCTGCGTCCCATCCCTGTGTGCCCACCCCCGCCCCCTGCCCCCCGCATCCCACACCGCCGCACCTCCACCTGCTTTGACCATGGGTTCGGGATGGGGCCGGCAGGCGGGCACGGTGCTCCCGGAGCCCTGTGTGAGCCTGGGCCTCCCGCCCGGGGTCCCCGCGGGGACAGCGGCTGGCCCCCTGCACCTCCCCGCCAGCCTTTCATCCCCGTCCCACTCCTGGGCCCTGGAGCCGCCCAGTGCTCGCCCCCGAGTCTGTCGGGCCTCCCGGTGACCGCAGACCCTCGTCCCCGAGCCAGGCTCTCACGGGGACTGGCTTTGCTTCTGGGGTGGCTCTGCCCTTGTCCCTGGGCGCCTGGCCTCCTGGCCTTGGAGGGATTTGGGGTCCATTCCCCCCACTGCCCAGGCCCCATGTTCTCGGGACCCCTTATTCGTAGTCACTGGGCCTGGTGCTGACCGGCACCCCCACCTCAACCATCCGGTGGGCCGGGCACCCACTGCCCCACCCAGAGCACATCTTGTTCCCCCTCACTCTTCCAGCCAGTGGCTCCAGCCCAGCTCTGGGTCTCACTGCCCCGAGCACTGTCCCCTCTCCCGAGCCTTGGTTTGCTGTGAGCACTGGGACCCTCACTTCCAGATGTGGGCTTGGCCCCTCACCCTCCTCTCCTCCACCCACCAGGCTGCAGGAGTCGGTGGGTGGGTGGGTGGGTGGGTGGGTGCGTGGGCGGGCAACAGGACTCGAGTCCCTGCAGCCAAGCTGCCCCACAGCTCCTGAGCTCCGTGGGCGTGTCCCGGCAGGACGGGCCGCAGGGCGTGCGTGGCGGTGGGCAGCTCCACCCAGTGCCGGCCAGCCAGTGCTCACCAGGCTGTGCTCTGTCCCGCGCGGTGCCTGCGTGTGCCGCCCCCCTCCCCCGACCCCCGACCCCGCAGGACCTGGCGGTGCTCCAGGACAAGCTCCGCATCTCCACCAAGAAGCTGGAGGAGTACGAGACGCTGTTCAAGTGCCAGGAGGAGACGACGCAGAAGCTGGTGCTGGAGTACCAGGCGCGGCTGGAGGAGGGCGAGGAGCGGCTGCGGCGGCAGCAGGAGGACAAGGACATCCAGATGAAGGGCATCATCAGCAGGTGCGGGCGCGGGACGGCCCCCACGCCTCTCCCGGAGACACCCGGTGCGGGGGGGTGGGTGGACACCAGGTGGCTTAGGGTCCCCGTGGAGGTATCCTGGAGATCGGGATTCAGTGCTCTCAGCCTTCATCTCCAGCCTGTCCCTGGCCCCTGTGGGCTTCCTTCCTGGGACGGGGAGAACGTCGGGTGCCTGGAGGTTCTGATCGGCTCGGCCTGGCCTCCTGCCCCAGCAGGACGCAGGAGCTGATCTTTGGGAGCCAGTAGCAGGACCCCCCCCTTCCCTCCATGTGCATGGTCCGGGCAGAAACCAGTTCCTGCTTCCACATGTTCCACTGTGGAGCCACGTGTGCGGATGTGTGTGTGTCCGTGTGCACGTTTGTGCCAGCCTGTGCATGCGTTTGTGCCTGAACATGTGTGTATGTGTGTGCACGGGTGTGGCAGGTGCATGTGTGTACAGTTGTGTGCATTTTTTTTAATTGCTTTTTGGGCCACACCCAGCAATGCTCAGGGGTTACTCCTGGTAGTACTTGGGGAACCTTATCAGATGCCGGGGATTGAACCCGGGTCAACCATGTGCAAGTCACACACCCCACCTGCTGTACTATCATTCTGGCCCCATGTGCGTTTCTTGCATGTGCATATGTGTGCGCTTGCGTGTTGCATGCATGTGTGCCTGTGTGGCGTGTGTGTGCGCGCTTGTACGTGTGTGCGCGTGTGTTTGTTTTAAAGAGTTTTCTTTTCCCTCTGCCTGCCTGCCTTGCTGGCTCCCACAGGGCCCCCTCAAGCGGGGTGTTGCCCCCTGGAGCCCCTGGCACCATGGGCCAGAGCAGCCTCTGGCCTCAGCTCAGCTGTCCAGCCACGCTGGCCAGGGATGTCCAGGAAGAGCCCCGGGCTCGCTTTCTCTCTGTCGCTGACCCGCTCTCTGATTACACTGCCCCTGGCGACCACCGTTGTCGTCATCGTCGTCTTCATTTCTTGGGCCTGTTGCGCTCTCAGATGGGGGATAATCTGAGACCTGTGCCCTGCGCCTCTCAGAGAAGCCCAATGCCCCAGCAGGTCCCCGAGCACTCTCTGGGCTCCTGCCTTCCCTTGGTTTTGTCCGACTTTTCTTTTGTGTGCTTGTCTTTGTTTTGGGGCCCCGCGTGGGTGCCCAGGACTGACTCCTGGCTCTGCACTCCGGGATCACTCCTGGTAGGGCTCAGGGGGCCATCTGGGGTACCAGCGTGGAAGCCAGGTCCGCAGTGTGCCAGGCCAGCGCCCTCCCTGCTGTCCTGTCGGCACCTGAAACTCCGGCCCCTGACCGCAGTTTCTCTTCCCCTCAGACCTTGTCTCGGCATGCAGCAGCTCCTACCCCTGGGGTTTGTCTTGGCCGCGTCGTCTGTCTCAGGCCTGCAGTTGGCCTCAGGTCCCGCCTGTGGCTTGTGTCACGGTGCCTGGGCGTGCTCCAGCTGTGTTTCCAGCGTTGGTGTCTGCCTGCCAACCATTCCTTCCTTCTGCCCTTGGCCTGGGCCCCAGTCCCCTGGCTTCCGTCCTGCGCCCAGGGTGTGCCTCCCTGTCCTTCCACGTGCCTGCACACAGGGGTCGGAGCCACGTCTGGCCATGCCGCAGGCGCCAGTGTCTCGTGGTCCCTGACACTGGGGCCCTTTGTTCCGGACAGTGCAGCGGCTGCGGTAAACGGTCTGGTTGTGCTGCTCCGGCTCTGACCTGGTGCCCTGCGACAGCCGTTTCCTTCTGGGGGTTCCACAGAGCACACACGGGGCCTCACGTGGGGGGTGTTTGGAGAGGTGGGCTGCCGGGCGTGGGTCCCGGCCTCCCTGTCCCCTCACCTGAGACTGCGCTCCTTGGGCTGGACACGCTGTCCGGGGCTGACCGCAGCCCCTCTCAGGCACTGGCTGAAGCTGGACACCCTGATTCCTGGCGGGTGCCTGGCTCTGCCCTGTCGCCCTTGGATTTTGGTGGCAGGAAGGTCAGCGCAGTTTTTTCCCGACACACCCTGAGACCCTGACCTGTCCCAGCCGCCCCTCCTCCCTCCAGGCCCTCCCTTCCCCGTGCTCCCCATAGCCCCCTCATCTCCCCTAGACTCTTCCTTCCCCGTGCTCCCCACCCCCCTAGATCCTTCCTTCTGCTCTGTCCTATGGGGATGCTCCTTCCTCACCCGTTTCTGTCTGTTCGTGGTCTCTGTGCTTCTGTGTGGGTGTAACCATTGCCTGCCTGCGTGGCCGGCTGCCTTGTGCAACCCTGTTCCGTGCAGACACCACACGCGCACGCACGCACACACAAACACACACACACACACACATACACACACACACACACCCCTCACCCACTGCCCGTGCAGCCTGACCAGTGGAGAGCCTGGTGCAGAGAGCCCCAGAGCCTTCACCCCCGCCTGTCCTGGGGTCCTGTGATGGGTCCCCACCTTCCTGGCTCTGGGGTGCAGAGGGTCTTGCCCCCCCTTCCCGCTGCCTTAGGTCTGGGGGTCGGGGCTTGGGGAGCAGAACAGAGCCCGACGAGAGAGGGGGGACGGGCAGCCGAGCCAGCCCCATTGCTATCAGGGAGACCCCTTGAGGGCCTCGGTTCTGCAGGTGTGCGGGGGCGCCCCCCGCCTGCCCTGCTGGTCCCCACAGCGGCACCCTGACGCCCCTCCTCCGGCAGGCTGATGTCCGTGGAGGAGGAGCTGAAGAAGGACCACGCGGAGATGCAGGCGGCAGTGGACTCCAAGCAGAAGATCATTGATGCCCAGGTGGGCCCTGGGCCACCGCCGGACCCGGGATGAGGCGGGCTGAAGGCGCCGGAGCCCTGACCGGCGGGCGGGAATCCTGCCCGGGACAGCTGCAGGGCCGAGGGGGCAGCTCACCCGGGCACTCGGGCATTCGGTGGAGAGGGACGGGACAGCCTCTCCCCTGTGGTGTCCCAGCAGGCCGGGCAACGGGAGCACGGATCTGCCCTCCGAGGGGCTGGCCCGGCAGAGACCCTCTTTCTCCCCTCTCTGGAGCGGGCCCGGTTGTCTCGGGCTGACCGCAGACCCTGGGCCCCACACATATCACCTCACTCAGGGGGACCAGACGGCAGGCCGGCCTGGGCCTGGGCTTGGGCCTGCGGGAGGCCTCGTTCCATTGCCCCGGGGTCCGTCCTCCTGGACTTGGGGTGTGTCTGCTCACCCCTGCCCCAGCCTGTCACCCCGTTCTGCCCCTTTGTCCCTGCCCCTCCCATCCCACCCCTGTCCTCATCCCTGCAGCCCCTTCACCTCGGCCTCTGTTCACACAGCCCCTGGAGGTCTGTCCCTCCACCCTCTCTGTCCCCGTCGTCAGTTCCTCCCCCAGCCCCCCCGCCCCCCCCCTTGCCCGCCGGCCCCCAGCAGCACCCCCTCTCTGTCCCCAGGAGAAGCGCATCGCCTCGCTGGACGCGGCCAACGCCCGCCTCATGAGCGCGCTCACGCAACTGAAAGAGAGGTACAGCATGCAGGCCCGTAACGGCGTCTCCCCCACCAACCCCACCAAATTGCAGATTACCGAGAACGGCGAGTTCCGGAACAGCAGCAATTGCTGACCCGGCCCAGGAGGGCCAGGGCCCACGGCCCCATGTCCCCTCCCCCGCCCGCGGGGCCCGGAGGAGGCGGCCACAGGCGCGAGCCACGAGAGAGACTGGTGCGACGTTGTGGGTGGGAGGGGGTGGGGGTCGCCGGCTGCCCCGTCTCTCCCGACCGAGAAGCGTGTGTGGGTGCAGGCGGAGAGACGCGGCACGTGGGGAGCAGGGGCCCCTGAGACTGGCATCTCCTGAACTCGCTGGCCGCCGCCGCCTCCTTGGCCGGGCCGAGTGCATGCGCCCCAGAGGGAGCAGCCTGGACACGTGGGGTCTAGAGCGAGCGGGAGGCCCCAACCTGCAGCCGCCCCTGTCCTGGGGCCCCCCCAAGCGGGAGAGCCCCCACTGGCAGCCTAGCCTGTGCCCTGTGGGACCTGGAGGGCCGGCAGGCTGGGAGTGCGTGGGCCGAGCCCCTCCCCCAGCCGCGGCCCCTGCATGCAGCCCGTCCAGGCCGAGAGGAACCAAGGTGCCCTCCCCTCCCCCGCCCGCTGACTCCCACCCCACCCCCCGCGCGACCCCGTTCTTGAATGCTGCCAAATCAACATGGGGAGGCCGGCAGGTCATGCTGAGGCCCCTGACTGACCCGCAGAGTCTCCCCCCACCCCTGCCACGGGGGGCTCACGTGATGCTCTGGGGCTCCCCCAAGCCAAAGATCTGGGCCCAGGCTGCCCAAAGGGCACCCCCCCCACACTCCCACCCCAGTGGCCGCCCTGGGCCTGGCCTGGGGCGGTCAGCGGTGCTAGCCCCGAGAGAGAGAAAGAAGGCCTGTCAGGGGTAGCGCTGCCCGCAGCCCCGAGGAGGTGGGTAACTGTGATTCTTTTTCCTTTCACAGTATGCATTAGAAACAAAAGCCCGCCCGCCTGCCCGCTCGCTCGCTCGCTGGCCCGCCCGCCCGCTGGAAGCCAGGGGCCCTTTAAAATTGAGCGTGCGCACTGCATGGGAAATAGCGGCCCCGGAGGATAGACTTGCTCCCTCTCGACAGCGGCAGCGGGGGCCTGGCGTGACCGCCTCCTCTCCGGCCCGCCCCGCCAAGGGCCCGGGCGCTGCACCCCGGCGGGCAGGGGCGGGCCCCGCCTATTAGCTTTTCAGCCTCGACCTCCCCTCGTGGGACGCAGGTGGGCAGCAGCTCGGGCCCCTGGGGGCCTCCCACGTCGGGCCCACCGGGTCAGGAGCCAGGCGGGGCGGCCCAGGATTCCCCCCCGCACCCCCAGCCTCAGGAAGCCGGGCAGCCCCTGGGAAGAGGTGCCCCTCCGCACCCAGTGCTCTGAGCCCTGAGCCCCCTGGGCGGTCTGCAGGGCTCTGGGAGGTGGCCAGGCCGCCCCCCCATCCCACCCCACCCCCCGGCTCTGGGAGGGGTTTATCTAGGTGGCCAGGTGGGAGCCATGCTTTGTGGGGGGACGGCAGCCCCCCAGGAAGGAAGGGCGGGGCCACACACTGCCTCCAGGGGCCTCTCGGGTAGGACCCGGCCCCCCCCACACCCCACCCTCCCCGAGATGCCACGAGTGACCTCGGACCGAGCGCGTCTTAGCAATACGGGGTGGGGGTCGGGGGGGCTCCCCCAGGGCCCCGGAGCCAGTACTGCTGGCTGCCGCGGGGTGCCAGGCCCTGTGTGAGCTCACTGGGGCCGAGTGACTTCCCCCCCCCCCCCCCCCCCCCAGTGCAAAAACTGTAAAACTGTACAGAAGCCGCCCTGCCTGGGCGGGATGGCGGCCCGCCGGGCTCTGTAAATGTTCTTGGTGTGTGACTGTGACGTGACCCCCCTCCCCCGCAGCTCTGCAGACCCCTTCCGTCCCGGTGCTGCCCGGGCCCTCGCCCTCCCAGGGCCCGGCTCAATTTTCTCACCCGGAAGACAGACAGTCTTGGGCTGGAGCGAGCGTTCTGGAGCCGGGGCAGGGAGGAGAGGGGCTTGTCCCGAGTGAGGGTTCTGGGGCACGCTGGCTGCTGGTGGCCCACACGCCCTGCCAGGGCCAGAGAGAACTGGCCTCCCCCCCGGGGCTGGGGTGGCCAGCGTGCCCTGGGGGGGACGGGACGGAGGGTAGCTGCCCCCGGCCCTCCCCCGGCTGGCTGTCTGTCGAGACGTCTGGGTGGAGGAAACTGCCAAACTTCTCCAAGAGAAGGACTCTTCCAGCAGCCCGGATCGGGGGGTGAGGGGGTCCCAGGCCAGAAACCCACTCACCCCTGTCGCCCCCATCTGCCCCAGCACCCCCCGCCCCTCTGTCGGACCGTTCACCTCTTTTCTACACGCGCCCCCCCACCCACCCCCGTCCCGGCCCCCACACCCCGCCCCCCACCCCTTTTGTAAGTATGTGAAAAGGAAATAATGCAAACATCGGGGCGGCCGGCTGTCCGGCCGTGCCTCCGACTGTGTAATAATGTACAGAGAAAGTGGTTGGTGTTCTCCACGTGTGGCTGTGCAATTTCTGTACATTTGCAATTAGAAATATTAAAGATTTATTTAGCTATTTTAAGCCTGCCTCGCCTCTCCATCCGGCCGCCTCGGGACGTGACCCAGGGGTGAGTGGGTGAGTGACGGGCTGACGTGGATTCCCCCTCCCCGCCCCCGCCTCCAAGGGACCACCCCGGCATGGGACACGGGTGGACGGGGGGACCCGCAGAGCAGGCGGAGGCCCTGCGCCCATCCACCTCCCAGATCACCAAGCCGGGTAGTCTGTCCCCGACCCCTTAGCACTGGCTCCAAGGTGGGGAGCAGGTGGACGGGGGCCAGCTTGAAAGCAAGGTCTTCCCCCAAGCGGGCACCCCTGGACCCACCCCCAGAGACCCTCACCCTGCCAGTCCCTATCTCCCCCCTCTGTTCCCTGAGTCTGGGGTGTCCGGGGTCACCGCGCCTCATGGCTGAGAGGCCCAGAGCCTTTCAGCAGGGCAGGAGTGCACCTGGGCCCGGGGACCCTCCTTGTCGCTGGCACCCCTGCCTCCTCCAGGGTCGGGGGTCCAGCTGGCCAGTCTTGCCTGAAGGAAGCTCCAGGCCGGCTCTTTGCTCTGGAGAAGGTGAAGGCGATGCGGAGGGCGTGCCGGGCACCAGCCCGACTCCCCGCCTGGTCCCTGGGTGGCCCCAAACCAAGACTGGGAGACGGAGATGAAGTTGCTCCCTGTGGCATCGCTGGCCCCTTCCTTCCCCTGTGGCTGCCCGCCCTCTGCACCCGTCCATGTGCCCGGCCACCCCCAGTGGCCACTGGGACTCTCAGAAAGTCCCCACTTCTCTGGGCAGTTGTGCTTCGGCCCCCGACCACTCTGGGTGCTGGACACCATAGGACAGGTAATAATACCGTCCGCCCCGGGAGGGAAAGGGATCCTGTCCCTGCTCCAGCCCAGCCTCCCTGCCCCACCCCCGGGTCTCGCACACCTGCTGCATTCTCCCTTCAGGGATGCCCCCGGGAGAAGAACCCCCTCCTCCTTCCCAGGGACCAACCAACCCGGGTTCGATTCCCAGCATCCCATATGGTCCCCTGAGCACCGTCAGGAGTAATTCTTGAGTGCATGAGCCAGGAGTAACCCTTGTGCATCACTGGGTGTCACCCAAAAAGCAAATAAATGTGCGGGGGTTGGTGAGGGGGTCAACTGGGAATGAACTGATGAGCCCCCTGAGGAACCTCCAGGAGGTTTCTGGTGGGAGGCAGTCCCCCACCTCACCTCAGAAGGAACGGGAAACGTTTCTGCTCTGAGGAAGGAAATAGAGTGAGCTCTAGAATTGTCCAGGCCAAAACCTGGGTCTCTGGGGGAGCAGCTGGGAGCGGATATAAAGACATCTGTCCCTGAGTGCCTGTTCTTGCGTGCCTTCAGGGCTAGGCCGTCCCCGGTCCCCGACTACTTTCTTTGGAAGAGCGAGCATCTAGAGAGAAGACCTCCCAATCTGACTGGGTCCGTGTCCCGGCTTAAGGAGTGACATCCGTCAACATACAAACACAGGCCTGCGAAAGCACACACACATACACATGCACACCACACGTGTGTGCAGAGAGCACCGGCAGCCAGGCACACTTCCAACAGGTTAGAGAAACTAGCTTTTGAGTTTCCCTGGGTTTGTGCTTCATCGGTCCAGCAAAGCCCCACTATGTGCAAATAGAACATCTTGGAGAAAGAAAGCAAGCCTGCAGGGAAAAGGGAGAGGCGAGATCAACAGGATACAAACCAGGACTGATAGAGGCTGGAACAAAAAGTGGAGGCCAGGGCATTTGCCTTGTACACACCAAACCAGGGTTCAATCCCCAGCACCCCATATGGTCCCCTGAACGTGATCAGGTATGTCTCAACACCAGAGACCATACAGGGAAGAAAAGAGCAGTAAAATAAAATAACCCAAACTCTTTTTTTTTTTTTAAATGTAGGAGTACTGCCATTTATTTAGCCACTGATTAGCTGATTGAATTAGGCATGAACTCCACCTTACTTTTTTTTTATTTTTTATAATTTTTATTTCTTGAATCACCATGAGAGCAGTTACAAAGCTTTCGGGTTTAAGTCTTGGTCATACAATAAAACACCCATACCTTCACCAGTGCCCATTCTCCACTCCCAAAAACCCCAGTACACTCCCATCCCACACCCTCCCCCTACCTGTGGGGCAGATGATTTCCACATTACTCTCTCTCTACTTTGATTACATTCAATATTTTGACACCAGACCCACCATTATTATTTGGAATTTTACCCCAACACTCATATCTGCTGAAAAGGCAACAGTAGACAATTTGTTTTCTATTGCTGGTTATGAATAACATATGATGTCACGTGGCTGCAGCAGTGGCCGCGTGATTTTGAAATTCCAAAATTTTAGCAATTAAATCTGGAGGGATTTCTGCCAAAACCTGCTGGGTTCCGAGATTTGTGCCTGAGTCTCTTGAATCATGGCTGTTAAGCAGCTTGATCAGGAGCCAGAAAGGCCTTTCATGGGCAGCGACTCAGGCTCTTGTTGGTTAGGGGAGGAAAGGGCTGGCTCCACCCCCATCCCGTGAGGCCCCATGTGTCTCATCACTGAGGGCCCAAACCTGACTGTCCAGTAGCCTCTGAAGGATGACAGTCACAAAGCCGCCTAGGGG